TCAAGTACTTTCCCCTAAGCTGGTTGTTTGGCTATTCTTTTTTATTTTTAATTTGTTTGTGTGCATCAGTGTGTGTAGCTGCAGGTAGTGTGGAGGTGGCCATGGAGGCTGGAGGAAGGTATTGCGTTCCCAAGACCTGGATTAATAGATGTTTTGAGCTGGCCAATGAGAATGCTGGGAACTGAAGTCCTCTGGAAGAATAGGAGACTGTCTCAGCCAATGAGCCACCTCTCCAGCCCCTGGCTTCCTACTTTGTTCAAAAATACTTACATACCTTCTACCATTTGTCCTCTTCCTCTTCTGCTTCCTCTGTTCATTGAAACCTCCATTCAAGTTCCGGGTATCCGGCCGTAAAGACACTTGAGGCACTTTCTGGCTGGAGAGGTGGCACAGAGGGGAAAGGTGCTTGCAACCAAGTCTGATGACCTGGGTTCGATTCCCAGGGTCCACATGATGGAAAGGAAGGACCAACTCTGGCAAATTAACTGTCAGTCAGAAAGAAATTCAGAAATTGCTGATTTCTGACAATTAGAGATCTAAAAGCCAGCATTCCCTTGGGGACTCGGGAAGCCAGTTCCTGTGTTCTGGGTTCAGGATGATCCAGGATCATCGGAAGAAAAGAGAGATACTTAGGATGAATTTACATTCTCTCTATTGGTGGGGAGTGGGGGGGTGGGGATTGGGGGAATGGGGGAGTAGGGGTGGGATCAGCTTCTCAAGGACTGAACCCTGACGGCTTCCTAGGAGCTCTTTTTATTGATAAATAAAGAGCACTTTTAGGAAGTCAATTTCGTAATACCAAAACCTCTTATCTGATCTAGGGCGTGTCTTTCAAGACACTCCCCTAGCCCATTCTCAGCCATACGGCCCTCCTAGTTTGTCACAAAATGTGACAAAAGGCTGTTTTAAAGCTGACGTGCCATCACTGCAGATTCAGGCCAGATACCACAGTTCTGCTAAAAATCCTGCTACAAGCTCCCACTCGCCTATAGAAACCATTCTCCTTATCTCTAAAAAGGGGACATTTGGCTCTTGGGTTAATACACTCCTGTGGTGCTTATCAGCATATCAAGGGCTGGGCTGGCCTCCAGGCTCCCTCAGTCCCAGCTCAGAAGTACTCCAAATCCCCACACCAGCTCTCAGGCTCTCTTCCTCTCAGTACCCATTCCCAATACCCTGAAGAATTTCCCTCTTTCCCTTCTCGCTTGCCCCAAGAGACAGCCTGGAGGATTAAAATAAAATTTTCCTTTTCACCCAGAAAGTGGCTACTTCTGGCTATCTCCGTTTCTTTACTCGCCCTTCACATTCTGAAGTCTGGCCGTTCAACCGAGGCACAGCCATATGCACGCTCGTATGAAACACATATGCAATAAATAAAATGCAACCTATATTACATTTATTTACTTTTTTTTGTTTGTTTGTTTTTCGAGACAGGGTTTCTCTGTGTAGCCATGGCTGTCCTGGAACTCACTCTGTAGACCAGGCTGGCCTCGAACTCAGAAATCCACCTGCCTCTGCCTCCCAAGTGCTGGGACTAAAGGTGTGCGCCACCACTGCCCGGCTTAAAGGCACTTTTGAAGAAGCACTTTCATCCACCCTGGCAGGCTGAAGACTTCAGGGAGAGAACCCAGGGGCTTGCAATAGGCTTATCCGGAAGGTCTAGAAATAAGCTTGATCATTGGGTTGGTTGAACCTCATTAACTCAGCCAGAAAAACCCAGGGGAAGTGTTGATCCCTCACTCTCTTGTTAGCCTACAGGCGATTCTCCTGATCTGCCAGGTGTGTGAGGTGGGGGCTGTGTATAAAAGGACTGCCGCCAAACTAGCGCTTCTACTACCTCTCCCCTCCCCTCCTCCTCTCTCTTTCCCTTCTTTCCCACTCTCCTTCCCTTCCCCCACGTCTTCCAGTCTGTCTCTCTCTCCCCCTTTCTGTCCTCTGTTTCCCCACCCCCACCCCCACCCCATTTGCGGCTCTCCTCGCTTCTGTCTGCCTGCCTACATGCCCACTCATCTGTCTCTACCCCTGCCCTGGCCCTCACTCCCCTCCCTTCCCCCAATAAGCCCCCCTATACCCCCCTTATACCAGATCTGTTAGGTTTCATATCAGATCTGTTGCTTAGTGTAATTACTCAGGGGACACATTGACATGGGCCCGCAGGGTACCCTCTCGCTGCATTTTATTTCATAACCCTCTTGACCCTTCTCACACAGCGGGAGGAGCCCAGAGAATGACTGCCATCAGGGGCAGACTCCTAAGGAAAGCCCAGACTCTCACTGGCTTAGAGAGAAGGGCTGGCATGGCTCAGGAGAAAAAAATAACTAGAGACTCAGGAAAAGAAATGAGGGGAAGGAGTAGCATTTGGCACCTCAGACGGTTTCATGTTTTGTGGTGTTTTAGAAGTATTTGCCAGGCAGTGGTGGCGCACGCCTTTAATCCCAGCACTTGGGAGGCAGAGGCAGGCGGATTTCTGAGTTCGAGGCCAGCCTGGTCTACAGAGTGAGTTCCAGGACAGCCAGGGCTACACAGGGAAATCCCTCTCTCGAAAAACAAACAAACAAACAAACAAACATAGAAGTATTTGAGGGGAATGGGGAAATGAAAACCACCCTGGCTTTGTTCCCCCTTTGCAGTAAACAGTTAATATTGCCAGTCGGTTTTACTTACTCCTTTGTGTGCTAACCGACATGTACCTGTCCACCAGCGCTCTTCTCCCACCCCTAACGCCGCCATCTTGGTTGGCCAAACCCACCTAGGCCTAGGCTGCAACTGAAGAGCCGCCATTCACTCGCGGAATCCAGTGAAAGGGTATCTAAAGAAGGAAATGTTGAGATTCCTCATTTAGAAAGTGACACTGTGAATTAGGGAAGCAGGGACTTTGCCGGCGCCTCAGACGTTTTGCTCTCAAGCGCTTCATAACTTGTGACAGAGTCTCAGAGCCCGCAACTGTGTCGGGAAGAATAGACTCCTGAGGACTGTCCCCTGACCCTCACACGTGTATCAAGGCATGCATAGACACCGCGTGCACCCTCACACACGCTACACCATACATGCACGCATACATACACACTTCATTCACACATACATACACACTACATCCATACGCACAATCATACACCCTCACATTACACTTCATGTACACTACACGTACATACACTCACACATACTACATAATACACACACTACACAAACGCATACAATCAGGCACACACACTACATGTATATGTACACTCATATACACACTACATACATAAGCACACTCACATACACACTACATATGCACACTACATAAATACACTAACTCATACACACCCAGGCACATACATACATACATACATACATACATACATACATACATACGAAAACAGTTTAGGCCTGGCAGTGGTGGCACATACCTTTAATCCCAGCACTTGGGAGGCAGAGGCAGGTGGATTTCTGAGTTCGAGGCCAGCCTGGTCTACAGAGTGAGTTCCAGGACAGCCAGGGCTCCACAGAGAAACCCTGTCTCGAAAAACAAAACAAAACAAAACAAAACAAAACAAAGGAGAGAGAAAGAGAAAAGAAAAAAAAGGAGAGAGAAAGAGAAAAGAAAAGCAGTTTAAAATCTATCAAAATTGGAAACAGACATTAAAGAACTGCAAAAAAAAAAGTTAATAAGAAAAATGTAAATGTTGATATCAGCTTCCCCAGGAATCTGAGTTTTCCATGGTTTTCTTTCACTTCAGGAAGCTGACAAGCTCTCTCTCTCTCTCTCTCTCTCTCTCTCTCTCTCTCTCTCTCTCTC